ACGCTTCTTCTCAGGGCAGAATCCAAGAGGCGCCCAAGCTGACCCACCTGTGATAGGGAGCAGCATAGGGCTCAGGCGAAGCGGATGGGACCTCGCCATGGGGCATGGGAGAGGGGAAGAGGGCAGGATTGGCTTCAGGAACATTTGTGTTGAGCTATTTTCTTTCTTTCTTTGGCAGGGCAATTTCTACCAGTTTGTTGTGCTTGCTATTACTATTTCTGGGTTTTGTTAGGCACAATTTCCAACCATTTCAGTAGTTACTGCCAAGACCAGCTCTCTCTCTGAAGAGATATACCTCCTGTGTTTCAACACAAATGCTTCTGAAATAGGTTTGAGGTAGTTTTGTGGGAATCTAGCAGCTTTTTAGCAGCAACATCCTTCATTTCCAAACCAAGTACCCATCATCACTGATAATTCTTGGACACTGGAAAGGAGAACAGTCAGCCAGCCAAGTCTTTACAGTTGGTCTCTGCATCTACAGAAACACGCACGGGTGTATACATATGCAATCAAAAGAGATTTGCAAGAAAACTACCCTCCTCTCCAACTCCTTCTCAAGAGGAAACTTGTGCTTTCCTTTCCAGCCTTCAGAAGAAGGCTTTCGCTGAGTAACTTCCCACTAGTCCCCACACAAACTGCAAATATGCATACCTGCCAACACATGGGATTCATGCTCTTCCCCTCCAGCCCGTGCCTCCCCTCTCAAAAATAATAATAATAATAATAAAAAAAATAGAATAAGAGAGGTCTAGGAATTGCAAAAGGTTTGGGAAACAAGTTTTTGAAATGCCTAACACCCTCCCCAACAATGACAGCAGTCCAAAGAGAGGAAGAAAGAGTTGACAGGTCTGAATATTTTCCCACCTTGGCCGCTGATGACGTGAAGTCTCCATTTGATGACAACAGGGTTTTTTGTTTTGGGGGTATTTTTCTTAGGGTTAATTAACAGAAAAGCAATCTTAAGACTTACAAGTCCTACGCTTCTTTCCTCCTCTTCTCTTTACCTTACGTGAAAACAGGGTATATTTGAACAAATGGAATGTCCTCCAATCGAAGCAGAAGTGAATGGATCTCTAGTATTTGCTAATGCTTTCTTGTCTGGACATCTTTGTTGCACTTAGAGTTTACATATAATGGGTATAAAAACAACTTTGAAGGGTGTTCGTCCAACTCAGTCGAGACGTCCTTCAATAGGTGTGTGTTCTGGTGAACATTCATATATATTTATTGGTTATAGCCAGTTTAAAATATTTTCCTTTTTTTGTATTATTTATCCCCAATATTATGTATTTATATGAGGAAAAAAGAATCAAATTGTACTTTTTTAGTATTTACTTGTTATAAAGGACATTGTGTTTCCTTGTCATTGTACAACAAGCTTATTTTAGTTATTGTAATTTAGAAAGACCAGTAGTTTTATGTTACCTTCGTACTTATGAATAATGTAATTAGTTCTACTGGAGGCATGAGAGCAGAACCAGACTGTAATTGTATAGTCCTGAATTAGAAGAACTATAGCTAATCCCTCCCTCCCACCTCACCCCTCCTCTTTGGAGATCTTTCTTTGTTCTTATAGTAGTTATTTTATTTCCTCGCTTAAGGGTTGTCTGTTGAACAATTCTTGAATAAACTTTCTGTTATCAATTTTATCTTGTCCTATTAGTCGGATTTAGAGGCAAAGATAAATAATGTGTATGTAAAAATAGCGAATAGAACGCAGGGAAGGGACCACTCCAAATGTTCCGGAGTCCAGACAGCGGGGTTCATCTCTGCGTCCCCTTCTGGGGTGAAACTCCGGGGGTTCGGGGCCAGGGAGGACGGCCCGGCCCAAAAAAAAAAAAAAGGCAAAAGAAAAAAAGCCCAGAGTTTCTATGCGGGGACCTTAAAAGTGAAGAGAAATTAAGTTACTTATTATAATTAATTATGATTTAAATACACGCACATGTGCACATACACGCGTACACACATGCACACGCACACACATACATGGGCCCACATGCACACAAACCCACCCACCCCCCTCACACCAACGTATGCAGCTAAAATTGTTATTAAAAGGAAGAAAAAGCCACCGACAAAGGTTACATTATCAGAGCGAGCGAAAGGGAGAATAACCCTTTGCCAGCAGCAAAAGCAGATGGGATAATACCGTGAATAATTTGCTTTTTATGCTCTAAAGCCCTAAGAAAACTTATATTAAAGCAGCGAGGGCCAATAAAAGTTTTATGGTTCTGGAAAGGGGGTGAAGAGCTTGTCAGGCTCCAAATGCTCCATTTCTGTGGCTCATGCAGCAGGGAAGATCCTCTCCGAAGGAAAGGAGAGAGGTATTTTGATTGCTGTCGGGAGAAAAGGGTGAAAAGGCTGTAAAAGGTACCGAAAAAAGGGGCTGGGCTGTAGAAATATGGAGTGCGTGTGGCTATCCGTATTTTACACACACAGGTGTGCACATCTATAGGTCTGGATAAATCCCCACGTATAAAAAGGTCGAGTGGAGAAAGCTTTCCAGGAGAAATAATCTCCTGCTTCTTTCCATCTCTGATCTCTCTTAATAAATGAAGTTCCAGGTTAATAATTATAACCTTCGCGCAATAATAAATAACGGTATAACAGAGAGACAGGGCTTGTTTTTCTCCCCAGGACCGGGGCTGGGTTATGCCCGTCCATGCAGAGAGCAATTTACCATTCGGGGATACTGTAATTTAAAAGCAGAAAAGCGTGCAGGCTCTGATTGGGATCGCCTCAAAGAACAAGGGCTTGGCTTGGGCTTGGGTTTGTCGTTGGCTTCCACCCCCAAACACCCCCCATACCCCCCCGCCTTGAATATAATTTTCCCAGTCTCTCATCCCGGCCGCCATGTTGCTGAGGTTTGTGTCAGGGATTCCCAGGAACTAGTTAAAATCGGGAAAAAGGAGCCAGTTCCGAGGCTCGGAGCGTGATACCTCGCAGTTTCGCGATGGGGTCCCTCTCCTACAACTCCTCACATCCACGGTTTAATTTACACCAAAGAAGCAGGCCCGGGGTTGTCTCACAATTATTGCATTTCTCTGTCGTTCACTAACCCTGTGAATTTGTTCCTACAAGGTGATGCCTTTCCCCTTGAGTAGGGAGATTTTTTTTTTCCTTGTGCCTCCTCCTGGTGCGTGGGAAAAATCCTTTTCCCCAAGAGGTTCTTTTTTCTCCCCCCCTCCCTTTTTTCCTCTCTCTTTTTTTTTTTATCCCCTTACAACTTTACTGGTAGCAAAAGCAGCGAGACCAGTTGGGAGCGGCTGAAAAAGAGTTTCCTTTTGCATCCCAAACTCTTTCGCTGCATCCCACCTTCCCAGTCCCTCAAAGAGCAGGGAGGAACCGGCAGCCTCATGACAAAGCCCGAAACCCCCCCAAAATGCCACTTAAATCCAAACAAACAAGAAACGATCGGAAAACCCCAACTATTATTTTTTGCATCGGTCCTGATCTGTCGAGATTGAGTAGATTTATGCTGATTTCGATTAGCGCAGTCACAGATAGGAAATATTAAGGGAAATTCTCTCTTCAATCAAGCTGCGTTTTGTAAATGTGTTTGTTTTGGTTTGGTTTGGTTTGGTTTTTTTTTTTAATTTTCTTCACCCCTTTGCTAAACTGCGCTTCGGCCTCGGCTTCAGCTTGAGATTTATTATGTGTTTCTCAGAAACACTTACCACCCACACAGATGCTTGAACTGACAAAAGTTTCTAGGCTTCTCCCTGTGTGAATGCAGCCCGGCCAGTCCCTCTCTGCTGCAAAATGGGAGAAATGGAGCTTGAACAAACAAACTACAAACCAGCCACATTTCCATTCTGCAGCAGGCAGTTTATTTTTATTTTTTTTCCCCGAAATTTTTGTTTTCTAGACTTCCCGCTCTCAGGCCTTTGGATTAAACTTTTTGAATCTTTCTTGGTTTCAGTAACTGTTTAGCAAAAGCCTAATTTCTTTGCTGAGCAAGTTAGGCCCAGCTGTCAAAAGTCTTTCGAGAAAAAGATTGATCGTTTCTCTCTTCTTTTTGGTTTGTGTGGATCCGGGCACTTTAAAAGGGAAAAAAAAAAAAATCTTCCTGGGAAATGACTTTTCATTTTATTTATTTATTTTGTAAACTCTGGAAGTGGTGCTGTTTAGTGGCGGTGGGGGGAAAAGGGGGGAAAAAAGATGGGAAGGATGAAACGGGATTTCAAAGATATCCGTGACCTTAAAACGTTTGGGCTTTAAGGAAAGTGCAAAGGGCCCATTAAGTCTGGTTGTAGAAGCGGAAGGATTAATCTGTTTCTTTAAAAGTAATTTAACCAGGTGAAACAGGTCGGTCTAACCATACTTGACCTGAAAGCTCACTTGATTTCCTAAATGCTCGTACCCAGACTCAGATACAAACCTCCGGAGCAAACCCTCCTGATGGCTTCCCAAGCTCAGCAATAAATATATATATAGGATATGCAAATACACCCAGACACTCCCGGCCTGGGTTGCCAGACCCGAGATGTCAGCTCGCCCGCGGTTTAGGCTACATTTCCCTGGTTGCCTGTGGGCACCTCGGAGGAGGTGGGGGCAAAAGCCCCCTTTTCCCACGCCTGGTTTCCCCCCTCCTGGCGGGGTCCAAGCTCTCGGGAGCTCAGCGAGGGCGTCTGGAGCCGCACGGCACAGGCAGGGCAGGCAGCACCGGGCAGAGCAGGCAGCGCAGGCAGCAGCTCCCTGCCCGCAGCGCCCGGCCCTGGCAGAGCCCGCGGCCGGCCGAGGAGGGATGGCGGCGGAGGGAAGGCAGGGGCGGCGTGGGGTGGGGGGTGTTTCTGGGGATCTTCTCTCGCCTTTTTTTTTTTTTTTAATCAATTAAAGAAAATAATGCTTTCTGTTTGCCACCAGGCCCCGCCTGCCATTGGCCAGGGCTGGCCACGTGACCAGGAATTGGCTGCAATTTCGCCCCAGTCTCGAGTTTAATAGAGCAAGGTCCCCATACGCCTGTATTATCAGCAATATAACAATTATAAAAAGCCCGAGAACCATCATCATCACTGCCATAAAAACTGAGGCCCTCAGATTTCTTTCCCTCTCCCCCTCCTCCTTCCTCTTCCCCCCTCCCGCTTTTTAAACCCTGGGCCCTGGAAAAGCCATGAATTTTGAATTTGAGAGGGAGATCGGGTTTATAAATAGCCAGCCTTCGCTCGCAGAGTGCCTGACGTCTCTTCCCGCTGTCCTGGAGACATTTCAAACTTCATCAATCAAGGACTCGACATTAATTCCTCCTCCTTTTGAGCAAACCGTCCTCAGCCTGAATCCTTGTTCCAGCAGCCAGGCAAGACCGAGGAGCCAAAAAAGAGCATCTCATGGCCTGCTCCAGCTCCAGCCGCAGCCTTCGGCACAGCCCGGCCCCTTGGCAGCGGAATTCCCCTGGATGAAGGAGAAGAAATCCTCCAAGAAAGCTACCCAGGCTCCATCCTCTTCTTCCTCCTCTTCCCCCCCATCATCTTCCTCGGTGCCGGTCCCTGCCGCGGGATCTCCTGCAGGTTCGTATAATGAGGGGGCGAGGGGGTGTTTGCTGAAATCGGAGAGGATCCGAATAATAAACAATGTCCCCCCCCACCCCAGAGCAGCCCTACCCCAGCTTT